CCCACAGACCAAGCAGAAGCGACTGATCTGCCACCAGTTGAACCATTCCTGAGAAGAGCCCAGCCTGGTTTCTAAGCACTAGAGAGCACCAGCTTGTGATGCTCAGCTGGCTGAGACGCAGGGATCACCTCCGCCAGCCCCCGGAGCCATCCATCCCTGCGAGCAGGAGTCAGGCAAAAGTGCCCACAGCCCCACACAGGTGGGCAAGGAGCCCCTCGCCAAACTCAGCCATGCAGTGGGGAGGAGATGGAAGCAGGGACAGGTCACCTGCGAGGAGGGGCCAGGGGAGCCAAGCCCAAGGCCAGCTGGGGAAGGATGTCAAGGGCACCAAGAGGGGCTTCGGTAGGTGCACAGACAAACACTTTTGACTTCTGGCACTTCATCATCTGCTGGGGAGGGAGGTTTCTGTGCTTTCCTGGCGCTGCTGCCTGGGGATTGAGCTCCTTGGCTGCTCACCGGCAGGATTTCTGCACATGCAGGTTTGGGGATTTCTGGAGGCCGGAGGAGGAGTCAACCTCCCTGCCTGGGGCTGCAGTGTGGGGCAGGCACCCCCAAGCTGCTGCCTGCCCTCCTGCACCAGCTCTGGCGGCAGCAACATGGACACAGAAGTCGCCTGCCAAAATTCCTGGGTGGCACCTTGATCGTAAGTATTCCACACTTCATGCAGGTATTGAGAAAGTGGGGTTTACCCTTTAGGCGTTCAACCTTTCCCTTCCCTTGGCAGTGCTCGGGGTGGCCCCTTCCCCACCCAGACCCACGGGTTTGCCAGCAGAGGCGGGACATGCCACTCCATCGCTCCAAGCCATTCACGAGTGGAGAAGAAGCCACTGCTTTTGGTTTTCCTGCCAGAAACGAAGCAAGTGTGTCACCTGCCCCATCTCTGCCAGCTGCACACTTGAAAAACTCGCAAGCAGCATTTTCGCACCTGTTCCCAAACCTTCCATGCAGAGTTTCCAAGGGTTTTGAACCCATTAGTTAAAAATAGAAAAGTGCAACCCCTTTCGAGCAGTTTGCCAGAACAACAGGTTGACATCAGGGAATCCCTGCTGCTTTGGGGCAGAAGATGTCAGGAAAAGGATTCTCCTGATTGGAGCTGCTGCTTCTGCGTTGCACTAGCCCATGAGAAGGCAGGAGCCACCCTGTCCCCAGGAAAGAAGAGAAACAGCAAGTCCCTGTCGAGCAGTTTCCCTTCCTTCTTTCTTTCTGCTCTTCAGAAAGAAGTGCCGTCTTGCTCTGGCTCTGTATTGCAATGCCACTGGAAAAAGTGGAGGACGGGAGGAATCATCCTCCTTTTCCCCAAGGCTTTCCCTGTGTCTTGGGCTACCTTCTCCTGCACCTGGCAGAGACTTCGTCCTACACACTTGCTGCTGCTCTTTGCATTTAGGTGAATGCAAACTTTAGGCGGCTTTAACAGCTTGGATGATGTTTCCGTACAGTCAGCATCAAGCGACAATACAACAAAGACCGTAAGGACATTTCTGCAGGTGTCAGAGGTGCCCAGCTGGAAAACTTCCCAAACAGGGCACTGGGATGCCCAACGCTGCAGCCGTCCCCCCTCCCCACTCCGGACCCACATGCAGCCGGACACAGCACGCTCCTCTCATTGCCTACAGCCGTTCAACACAGCTTTATTGACTTCTGGGCTCTGGAGTCCCACCACCGGGGGCTCCGAGAGTGAAAAGCAGCAAGTGCTCTTCAGCAATTTCTCTCTGGCTGCTCCCTTCTGCCAGGGCACCATTGTCAGACATCACCGTGACGTCACGCTCTGATGTCACCACTATGCAGCACAGGCATCACAGCGGCATGTCAGAATATCCCATTGCTGCCCACCGTCAGCCGGCGCCATTTGGCCTTTGCTTGATGACTGGCAGGACCAGGCCTGGCTGTGCAGGGCGATGGCAAGCGAGGGAAGCTTCGCTCCAGCGGGGACAAAAGAAACGAAAAGGGAGCCGTCTCCTGCAGAAACACCATCGCTTTCTGCTCTGGACGAGCTGGGGCAGTAGGCAGACGTGGCTTCTCCTGGCTTTCCAGGACGGTGGGGAAGAGCACCCTGTGATGCTGCCGCACGCGCGGGAAAGGAGGAGAAGCTTTGGAGAATGGTGGAGAGCGACCAGTTTCGGTCCATTTGGTGGAGTGAGGGTGGAAAATGCGTGGCCATCAACGAAGAACTCTTCAAAGAGGAGGTGCTGGGCAGGGGAGGACCTCTGCGGGTTTTTGCCACGCAGAGCATGAAGAGTTTCCTCCGGCAGATGAACCTCTACGGATTCACCAAAACGCAGCGGGATTTCCAACGATCTGCCTCCCTGCCTGAATTCCTGGCAGAAGAAGCAGCGGCTTCTGCTCACAGCCAGGTACAGCAGTTGCTCCGCACATCAGCTAACGCTCACAATAGTCTTGGGGGAGAGAGGGACCTTCACATCAGATAAGGGCTTGAAACATGGGAGGTGAGGGTGGTAGCCAGCGGTCTGGTTTTAATTTCCTTCTCAGGCCGTTTTCAGGAAGGTTTCAGTTAGTCTTTCTGATGAGTAGGAACACAGCTAAAATACAGCTCGGTTATATCCACTGAGTATGAACCCGTTAAATGGAAAGACAGACTCAGCGTAGCCTGATTTCTTGGAACGCCTTTGCTACGTGTCTTGCTGTACCAAATCTGAAACCTCCTCTGCGGCACCTGCTGAATGCTGAGAAGATACATCTAAGGACCAGAGTATTACCTGCCTGCTCATAGCCACACTGAAGCTGCTGAAAAGTCGTGGTGTTTGGCTTTTGAAAGCAGCTCCTATGCTTTTGGAAATCCTACACTGCTGTGCTCCCAGATGGCAAAAACCCGGGGGTGATGATGACTGAACAGAACCGTCCTGTACCATTTTAGCCTGAGGTTTAGGTTTCAAAAGCCCCTGAGAGTCCTTTTCAATAGCCATGCTCGCCTTTTGCAATTCAGAGTCTTAGTTCGCGTAGCTTGGCGTTTTCCAGTCTTGGGATGGTGTCAACTAACTCCTCTCCTTGGCTTTTTTTAGATACTCTACTACTATAACCCCAGCTTTAACAGAGAGCATCCCCAGCTGCTGGAAAAGTGCAAGAGGAGAGTTGGCATCAAATGGAGAGCCCCAGATGCACCGGAGGTGGACGACAGGCACCCCTCCAGAAGCCCGGGTGGTCAGCCTGCAGGGGACACGCAGGCATCTCCACCCGTGATGAGCGCACCCACCAAGCGATGGGCTGCAACACCTCCCAGCCTCGGCAGCGCCCATCCATCTCCACCGGCAGCTGCTCCCACGCTTCCAGCACCTGCCGGAGCAGCGGGCAGCCAGAGCTTCACCCCTCCGGCCCTCTTCTTTCTACCACCACCCAGCAGCCAAACCCCGGAGGGCCTCCAGCGTGCTGCTCATGCTCTGTCACGGTTTGCAGTGCCTGTGCAGGCAGCAGCCTCGGCTCTGCCGAGGCCAAGGCCACCCCATGGCCAAAGCCCAACCGTCCCCTACTGCCCCACCTGCACCTGCAGCCCCAACCCTGCAGATGGACCCCAGCACGGCACATCCTAGAGAGAGCACAGAGAGTTGCCAGCAAGTCAATAGTGTCTAATTAATAGTGTTGTTAATAGATAGAGGTTAATTGAGTTGGTAAGAAGCAGAGCCTAGTAGAGTTGGTAATAAACTGTTTGGAAAATAAACCTTTTCCAGTTGTGCTGTCCGGTTTGCACAGCACAACCCCAGGGAGTTCCTATTGCACCCACAGACCAAGCAGAAGCGACTGATCTGCCACCAGTTTAACTATTTCTGAGAAGAGCCCAGCCTAGTCTCTTAGCACTAGAGAGTAAAAGGCAGGATGAAGGCTGCATGGTGCATGCACCGGGGATGCTCTTCCCCATGACATCTACGAATGAGAGGCCCTCTCTTCTGCAGAGGCATTCTCCCAAGGCCATGCTCTGTCTTGTGAGAGCAGGACCTCACAAGTCCTGGGACTCTTCAGGTAACTCGGCTGGGCCATAGAGCCATGGCTCAGCTTTTACCAGGAGGAGACAACCCATTACCCAGCAACTGAAGGAAGGACCTCTGGTAAGAGCATTTACCAAGGCACAGTTTAGCAAAGAGCATTTAATTGAAGCATCTAAACTTGATGCTGCTTCAAGCTGCCCTTCCTTTTTACTGAGCAGGGAGTTCATTTTCTGGTGAGAGCTAGCTTGTCACACATGCTGCGGAGGACAGTCCACGCTTTGCAGTGGTTTACATCGACCAGCATAAGAAATAAGGGTGCAAGTTTGTAAGTAGAAGTCCCCAGTAAATATGCAGTGCTACACAGCACAGTCCCATCACAGAGCAATTGCCCAAATTAGGACCTAAGATCAGAGAACTATGTGATTCCCACACCCCAAGCTGAACATCCAGATGAAGATGCCAACATCTTCATCTAAGCTGGACCAGGAAAGCAGTGTTTCATCTCATGCCTTCTCCCAATTACTTTAAAATAGGTATTGCTGAGTCAGCAGCCTGAGTTACAGAAATCGGTGATCTTTCATATCATTCCAGGACTGAACTGGTTTGCATAAAGTCATCCAGGAGAAAATCAAAGTGGGGACACTGGTTTCACACTGCAGCCCTGCATGCCTGGGGAGGCCGCAGCCACACAGGCACGTCTTTTCACCCCTATTGCCTCCACTCACTGGGTGCTCCCCATCATTCCCCCTTTCCTCATTCTCTACCCCTGTTATTCCCCTTCCTATGTCTTTTCCCACAAATTTTCCTCTTTTTTTCTGGCTTCTCTGAGGTGCTACACTCCCAGACCCCTGGCCTGATGCACAGCCTTGGCAGCATCATACGGCACTACCAGTGTTGCTGTCCACCCCAAAATGTGCTGCGGCAGAAGACAAGGAGACGCTCGCAGGTGCTTACTGGTTTTATTAGCAGCCCCGCAGTCGGGTTCCAAATCCCACGGCGAGGGTGCTGGGTGCGCAGGATAGTGTCACCCTGCCCGCCCCAGTGTCCCCAGCGTGGGGGGCCAGGTCACTCGGCGAAGCCCTGGGTGTTGCAGTGGGGTCCGTGCCACTTGTCGTAGCACTGGCAGATGAACTCCTCAGCAAGCCGGGAGGTGTCGTTGATGGACTCCAGGCTCTGCGCCACCAGCCAGGGCTTGCCGGCTTGCAGGTCGATGGTGAAGCGGAAGGGGTCGAGATGGAGGAAGCCCTGCTTGTTCTCCCGGCGCACACAGCGACCCCGGCCAGAGCACAAGCTCTGGCTGCACAGAGCGGCACTGGCCGTCACGTTGACGATGTAGTGGCCCAGGGGCCCCTCCACGTAGTCCTTCAGTCGCAGGCACATCTCCTACAACGGCATGCAGTGTCACAGCCCTGCACACCTGGGGAATGGGGGTCCCTGCAGGTGGTGGCACAGTGCCGCCCACCGAACTCACCTTGGAGGTGCTGTAGTTGAGGCTGCTGCCCCAGAGGACGATGCCGGCGGCACCCTGAGCCGCGCTCTCCCCGATGGTGTTCATCAGGTCCTCCTGCACCCAAGGGGAGAGAAGTCAATGGTGCCCAAAGCCCCCGCGCCGCCCCAGCAGAGCTAAAAACTCCCTAGCACCAGCCCATCAGCCCAGGAGGTGCCCACTGTCCCCATGTCCCCGTCACCTGGGAGAGGAAGTCAGCAGTGAGGTCAAAGGCGATCTGGGAGTAGGGCAGGACAGGGATGCCGGTGTCAAGGACGCCATGCTGGACAGCGAAGGCCTCAGCAATGCGGTGCCGGACATAGGCGAGCACCTTGTTGGTGCCATTGAGGCAGGAGGGCAGGTAGATGCTGGGGTAGAGCGCCCGGCTGCTCTCCCAGAGCCACCACAGCTCCTTGTTCCGCTGCTGCTCCACCACCGGGCACATCCCGGTGTAGGACAGGCTGTTGAAGTCATTGTTGTAGCAGTTGGGGAAGCCATAGAAACCCCAGTAGCCGTCAGGACGGAGGGTCTTGCCCAGCTGCAGGGTCTGCTCCATGAAGTTGCGGGCACTCTGCTCAAACTGCTGCTTGGCTGTCTTCTTCACCAGCTCCGGGGGCCACTGCGGGTGCTGCTGCCGCACCAGCTCCTCCGACTTCTGCTTGTAGATGTCCATGGAGGCCCAGTTGCGGATCCACAGCGGGCGCCACTTCTCCCAGTCGATGACGGCCAGCCCGCCATAGGCAGGGCTGGGCAGGGCAACCTTGATGTCCCTGGTGGCCTGGTGGAGGTGGGCCTGCAGGCTGGCGTTTTGGGGGAGCCCCCCGTTCACTGGCACCCCCTCAGGTGTGTAGTAGGGGAGGAACCCCAGCTCCTTGCTGTAGAAGAGGGTGATGTCCTGCCCGATGAAGGACTGCTGGTTGTTGGCCAACACATCGAAGACCTCCAGGTTGAGGGTGACATTGTACTTCTTGGCACAGCGCTCCGTGGGGATGTTCCAGATGGTGACAAAGGGGCGGTTGACAAGGACGGGGCCGGGCCCCCCGGCATGAGCCAGGGCGGGCAGGAGCAGCAGGAGGACCCAGCAGGACCACCCCAATGCCATGCTGCCAGCAGGCGCAGGATGGGTGCCGGAGCTGCCTAGGGAAAGCCGAGACAGGCTGAGACCTGGGCAGACCTCGATGCTTTTATCCCCAGCCCAAGCCGGGGCCAGCACTAATCCACACCCCTGTCCCCGAGCAGTGCCAGTCACCCACGGTCACCTCTCCCACCTCCTCACCTGACGTCCCCCAAGTTATCAGCAGCCGGAGCCCAGCACGGCGGCGCCGGAGCGGGACAGCAGCGTGCCAGCCCCAGTCAATGACTGGCGGTGGCGGGCCCGGCCGGGGAGGAATGCGTAGAGTCAACACCCAGTGACCAGCCGGCGATGAGCTGCGCTGGAAAGACAAACAGACACGGCCGGGGGGGGGGGGGGGGGTCAAGGTCACAGTGACGGACGTGGGCTGGGCTGGGCTGGGCCGGGCAGGCGCCGCCGGGGAAGTGCAGGGCATCGGCCGTGAGCTGGCAGGAGGAGGGCACTGCTGGGGGGAAGCTCACAGCATCGGGCAGGACCTGGCAGGAAAAACCCCGGGAAACGGTGGTGGCACAGGAGGGCACCGTCCGGGGACACTCACGCGTGGGAACAGCGGCCACAGGAGGGCACGGTTTGGGGACAGTCACGGCACAGGGCAGCAGCCGCAGGAGGGCACCATCTAGGGATACTCATGCGTGGGGAGAGCAAACACAGGAGGGCAGCATGTGGGGACAGGCACGCGTGGGGACAGCAGACGCTGGGCCACGCAGAGCCGCCGAGGGGGCTGCAGGCAGGTGGCGGGGGCACGCAGGGGCGGGGGGCCCCGGCCCCCCGGGGCGGGGGCCCCCGGCAGCAGCGCGGCGCGGGCAGCCGGGGATGCGCATCCGCGGCCGGGCGAGGCTGGGCCGGTTCCCCCGCCGGAGCCCCGGGTTCTCCGGCAACGGTCTGGCTCTCTCTTGTGGCTGCTGGGCCCCCGCGCAGGCTCGCCCGCCCCCCCCCCCCCCCCAGCCCACGGGACTCG